AGTAAAAGAAAAACCTACCTATTAGCAAAACTGAACGTATTATGTTTCTTTTATTTTTACCAGAAATTTTTAGCATCCTTTAATGGATAACATAGAAGTTTCTTTAAGCAAAATTTTCAGAAAATTATGTATACAAATTAGAATTTTCATAAGAATCCGCATACAAACAGATTTTCCGTATTGTGAACGTTGCTTTGAACTATGCTATAGCGATTTCCAGTCGTCATTTAAATGCACAGGATTACTGATTTAACGCAAATGTTTTTTTTCTAGAACGCGCAGCAAAAGTTCATGCAGACATAGAAATACCGTTGCGATTGCCAAAACGAGACGTTACAGAGAAAAAGAGGGACTGCTCTCTATTGCTTCCCCTACTCAGAAAAACCCTAACTAATTGACTAATCAAATCAACTCAGTCTATTTCGAAACGAGGCTACACGAAATTGTGCTACGTAACGTTGTCAATTTTCATTTTCCGATCGGCTGATATTATCGGTTGCGCCGTCCTCGAGCGTAATTGAATTGTTTTCGGGCCAGCCGGGGCTTCCTCGACGCGGAGATCTTCCGGATTCGAAGCGGCGGCGGCCGCCGCGTCGTGACATTTCGCCGGCTCCTTAATCCGCTCTAAAGCTGATTGAAGCAGCCGATCGCCTTTTACTCTTTGCTCGCAAAACGACGTTTGTAACGCGATCCCGATATCCCGCGTCTGCGAGACGGTTCCGCACTCGACGTCGGCTTCTCGATTTTCCGGGAGGCGTTTCGTTCTCGCCAAGAACGCGCGATCTGCCGCCGATCAATCTTCGCGGCAAGGTTTCGTCGACCGGTTGTCCAAGAATCGCGCTGTCCCGATGCACGCTCTAGTTTCCGGTTCGTTAAACGGTCGCCTCTCGTCGAGTCCGCCGGGCTATTCTTCGGCTTTTCTGTCCGCGGCGACCGATCCGAGGGGAAGCCTCGTTACGGAGCCGTTTAGATCGAGCAGCGTGGACGATTTCGCGGCGGAGAAATTCCGGGGAACCGGTAAGCGACGAGAGGCCAGGGCCCCTCGAATCAGCATTCGACCGGAGGATTCTTAGTTCCGGGTTATCTAACGCGAGAAAGTACACGGCGATCGTTCGATCCGATCTCGCGGATCGGACGAGGCTCGGTCTCGCCTCGTTTCACCGTGAACTTGCGGCTACGAAGAGCCGTCCTCTTCGAGAACCGCCACGAAAGCCCGCGAGACAGGTGTCCGACGCGCAACCTCGGGGTTAGAGATCCCGGCAACCACCCGGCGACGAATCAACCAGTCATTTGTATTCGATCCGTCTTCCTCGACCAGCTCGCGCTTCCTCGAAGCGACGGGCAAACGAGGAATGTCGCTGCTCCGTTCGGAGCACAAAATTGATATCCAACGTTCCCCGTTATCGAGAGCGTCCTCCGCAGCCGTGCAACTCGGGAATCGCTGGCCCATTATCTAACGTCAAGGTTTATTGTTCCGTCGTCCGCTGATAAGCGAAGAATCTCGCCGTGATTTACGGAGTTTAAATCATGGCCCCGCACGCACGATCTGTTTGGATCTAGCAAAGAACCGCGGAGACGTCGAGTTCTCTGTTGGTCTTTCGATATCGGAGCTCACGTGTCCGATTGCTGGACCGATCTCCGGGCAAATTTTATCGTTCTAAGGTTACGGTAATGTCTACCTAATTGACGCTCAGATTGTGCGGGAAGGTGGACAATCTAGGGAGAAGAGAGACAATTATGCGAGCCTTGCGGTTCGTTTTCATAGTTACGAATTGTTAATGGCTATAAGAACGAGCTATAAGGCTCGAATAATCGTGTCTCCTTTTCACAAATTGTTTAGCTTTGTGGAGAATTTAGGGAGAAGAGAGACGATTATTCGATCCTTGCGGTTCATTTTTATAGTCACGAATTGTCAACAATTATAAAAATGAGCTGTAAGGCTCGAGTAATCGTGTCTCCTCTTCCGAAATTGTCTAGTTTTGTGGACAATCTAGGGAGAAGAGAGACGATTATTCGATCCTTGCGGTTCAATTTTATAGTCACGAATTGGCAAGAACTATTAAAACGAGCTGCAAGGCTCGAATAATCGTGTCTCTGCTTCCCAAATTGTCTAGTTTTATGAACAATCTGAGCGTCAATTAGGGAGACATTACTGTATTTTGCGATCGTCGGATTCGAAAGGAATTTGTCTTTATCGATCGAATGATATTTTGTAAAACAAATATAGAATTCTAATACATTTCGTTCTAATTCTTTCTTATCGGTTTGCTTCATCTGACAAAACTATTATCACCATTTTGCAAAATTCTAATACACTTCGTTCTAATTCTTTCTCATCAGTTTGTTTCACCTGACAAAACTATTATCACCATTTTGCAAAATTCTAATACACTTCGTTCTAATTCTTTCTCATCAATTTATTTTATCTGATAAAACTATTATCACCATTGTGCAAAATTCTAATCCATTTCGTTCTAATTCTTTCTTATCAATTTATTTTATCTGACAAAACTATTATCACCATTTTGCAAAATTCTAATACACTTCGTTCTAATTCTTTCTTATCAATTTAATTTATCTGACAAAACTATTATCACCATTTTTCAAAATTCTAATACAATTCGTTCTAATTCTTTCTCATCAATTTATTTCATCTGACAAAACTATTTTCAACATTCTGCAAAATCCTCAAGCATTCCACCGATCGTAGCTCTCGTGTATTTTCCCTTTAATTTCGTACTTTCAGTCTCCGGGTCTTTGAAATACGGCGTAGTTCTGCGAGGAAGCTATTTATAGCGTTCCGAAAAATCGTCGAGCGTTTAAAGGGATAAGAAACCCGCGTCCTCTATTATTCCCTAAGTGCCGATTCGTTAGTAAATTCTCCAACAGGATTCTATTAAACCGTGTCCCGTCGCGATTACGTGGGCGTCGCGTTATCGGAACTTCACTCGGCCAACGAGTTAAAGCTTGTCCGCCGGGTGTAAAAGGCATTGCCCCGGCGCAGCATAGGCGGGTCTCATCATCAGCTGTTCCAGCAAGTTTACGAGCGTTTTAAACGCGACGGCCCGCCGCGGAATAGAAAACAAATAAATGTCGCGCGCGCGATGTCGAACGGAACGGGAACCGCGTGCCTCGGATGCTCGGCCCTCGTTTGAAATTCTGCGTGCGACCGGCCGAACGCTCGCACGCACCCGTTCCGACGCTTTTGTCTGGCCGCGATATTAAGGAAAGTGAAATTAGTCCTTGAATTATGTATGCGAACGAAAAGAAAGCGCCTCGCACCGAGCCGCCTATTGAACCGTATCGATCCGCGGATTTCTCGTCGACTTCCGGCTCTATCCCAAGAAGATCTGATTGGCAAGAAGCCATCACGAATGGCACGTTGACCTTTCACCCTGTCGCGCGTTGCTTCGACTATGAAGTTTCGAACGAAGATGTTTTTTCTTTACGATTCCGCGGATAATTAGACTCGATTGAAGACGCGAAAATATAAATAAATATCAGTGTACTGGAAATATTGGTGGGACCACGAGAGATCCCATCTTTGCAGAGTTGAAGTTACCCTAATCGTAATATTAACCCTATATCGTATATTATATAATATTATTATTACAAAATACAACTATATTATATAATATTAACCCTATATCGTAATATTACCCTAATCGTAATATTAACCCCATATCGTAATATTACCCTAATCGTAATATTAACTCTATATCGTAATATTACCCTAATCGAAATATTAACCCTATATCGTAATATTACCCTAATCGTAATATTAACTCTATATCGTATATTATATAATATTATTATTACAAAATATAACTATATTATATAATATTAACCCTATATCGTAATATTACCCTAATCGTAATATTAACCCTATATCGTGTAATATTAACCCTATATCGTAATATTAACCCTATATCGTAATATTAACCCTATATCGTAATATTAACCCTTAGGGGACCAAAACCATTTATTTCCACTTTACACACTGCCAAGTCTAGACTGTTTTCTTCAGACGAAGAGAAATTTCGTACTGAAAATTTTTGTATCAAATATAGAGAAGAGATATTCATTTTTTTAAAATAAAACTTCGTGGATATATTTTCATCGAAACAATCGTGCCTATTCTTCCAATGTTTCCTCCCAAATTTTACGATTTTTATTGATTTCTGCCGCGTGTATGACGGCATTGAACCCTTAAGGGTTGATTATCGAAAGACGATTTGAACCCTTTTAACCGTTTGCGCTCGAAGCCATTCTTTAACTGTAGATTTAAGATAATTTTTCTGACTCGTAGTATTAGGGGGACCGGAAAGTAATGTCGTTTCTGCGCATGTCAGTATTCCTTTCTTTTTGCATACTAATTTTTGCATACTCAAAATTTGCATACTAAATGAAAAAAGGTTGTTGATAATGAGGGTGATTACATCATTGATTGAAAATAAAAACTAGTGAAAAATTTATCTGTTTGAATTTAATGTAAACAAACGACATAACTTTCCGGTCCCCCTAATATTGCCATTTTATGCGACAAAGTGCATTTTATGCACACGAAATTCAGTCTCGTGATTCGCACAGCAGTTTTACCACTTTTAATAGTATTCAAAATCTGAACTTCGATGATGTAAAAATGATCTCAGAACGTGGTATAACAATTTCAGTGGTAGTGCCTCTGCGGCACCACTCGAGTTCAAAGGGTTAACGTCGGCTAAAAGAGCTGTGTTTGTTGTACCCGAGTTACACGAACGTTGTAAACAATTATGAAGTTCGAAAAGGAACATTTAAGATTAACAAATGAAAACACCAAGGAAGCATGATAATATCGCTTCTCAAAACAGTACAAGACCGCTAATGTGCCTAAACCGCGCATGTGCCCGGCATTCGCGCGAAGAATGATCGTAAAATTTACGCTATCCGGTCCAAGTAAACATCGCGATTGCATCGTAAAAAAAAATCTGTCCCGCGATTAGACGATATCGGTGACTCACCTTCGGCTTGTCCCGCTTCCTCTTGATGATGAGCCCGTCGTTCTCGATGTAGTCGGGCACGTCCTTCCGGTTGCTGAAGTTGAACACCATGGTGTTGTTCTGCTGGTTCCACGGTTTCGTCTCCCATAGGCCGCCGCTGCCGGAGCCGGACTTCTTCGCCGGTTGTATCTCGTCCGCGCTCTTCAGACTGACCACGACCTTGGTGGGCTGTTCTATGCTCTTCACGCGGTTGATCAGATTCTTCTCCAGCTCCCGGTGGCTCAGATTCTGCTGCGGATGCTGCGTCTTCGTGGAGACCAGAGGCCTGATGATGCCGATCTGCTTCTGGGGCGGCGACTCGCTGGTCTTTTGGCATCTTATCGTTTTGGTCTCGTTCCCTTGCGGATAGGAGGTCGCGGTGATGCTCTTGATCAGCCCTAGGCTGCAGATGGCACCGATCGGTTTGCCGTCGACGTTGCCCCTCGCGTCCCCCGCGTCCCCGTCCTCCTCCTTCGTGTCCTCGATCTTCCGATCGCACTTGTCCGGTTCTAGCCTCTCTTGGAGCCTGGAGACCTGCTGCGTCTCCTGCTCCGTTACAGCGTTCGCGGAAGCGTTCCCCGGGAAAAACGGCTTGCCCCTGGATTCCGACGGCTTCTCTGCACGCGGCTCCGCCGTCTGCTCGTCCGCCGACTTCTGCCCGTTCTGCGTGTACCCCGGCAAGTAGCTCTTGTTCGCGGTCGGCTTGTCGCTGAAGCTGAACTGCATGGTCACGCCGGTCTTCGCGATGTTCTCCAACGCGGTCTTCGAGATGGTCTTCGGCGCGTCGACGTCCTCCTCGGCCTCCTCCTCGCTGGTCACCGTGTCCTGGTCCTTCTCCTTCGACTCGTCCAGCTTCTCCCGAATCGTCGGGCTCTGTATCCTCTCCGGGACCTGCTGCCTCGGATGGTCCGCGCTGTTGTTCAACGGCAACGGGTCCTCGGCGATCGGCGATCGGGGCGCCTTCGCCGACTCCGACGCGGATATTTGTCGGAGCAGCTCCCTGCTAGGGCTCGGCGGCGGTTTATGGATCGGGCTGGACGTCTGTCTGGGCGCGTCCTTGATCGGCGACGACGGACTGCTCAGATGCGGCGACGTCTGCCTGAACGTGTCCTTCATCGGCGACGAAGGACTCTGCAGCCTGGGCGAGGATATCCTCGGGGAGAGGATCGGCGTTACCGGCGGCGATTTTACGCTGATCTCCAAGGAGGATCTTAGCTTTTGGGGCTCCGGGCTGGGCGCCGGCGAGAACTTCAGCTTGAACGAGGGCTCCGGCGACGGGGACGGCGAGTGCGACTTCTCGATCTGCTGGAACTTGCTGACCACCGAGGACACCGACTGCACGATCGACTCCGTGATCACCCCGTCGATGTGGTACTCCTCCTGCGTCTCGATCAGCTCGGCGGTCGGCTTCTGCGGCAGCACGATCTTCTTCGGCGAGCCCGGCATCGGCCTGGTGTTGCCGTTCACGAACGGTTTCGGCTGCACCGGCGGCTTCGCGACCACCTTCTTCTGCGCCTGGGCCTTGTAGGTGTCGTTGATGGTCTTGAAGGTGGCCACCTTCGCCGCGACCTCGCCCTTCGGTCTCAGCTTCTTCGCGGACCCCTCGAAGATCCTCATGGTGGTCTTGACTAGATCCGGCGGCGGCCTCTCGGTCTCCGCCAGCAGCGGCTTGATCCTCTTCGGCTTGTTCACGGGCTTCGGCCTGTCCAGCTCGGTGAGCCGGCTCTCGATCTTCACCGTGGACCGATCGATCAGTATGATGTGGTCGTTGACCGGCTCCTGCTTCGGCACGCTCCCCTGGCCCGCGCGGCCCTCCTCCGCGCCGTTGTACCTCATCAGCGTCTCGACGCTGCGCGCCCGTTTCATCGACTCGTTCCCCCGGGACGCGTTCCTGTATCTCTCGGTCTTCGCGTTGCTGCCGGCGGCGCTGGTCCTCTTCGTGTACTTTCTCACGGCCTTCTCGCCCGGCGCGTCGTCGTCGCAGTCGAGCAGGTCCTCGAGGCTGGCCGCGCGCCGAAACCGTTGCACCGTCACCCGGCTCTTGTTCATCTCCCTGAGCGCCAGGTTCAGGTACTTGCTCTTCAGCTTGTTCACTATACCGGGGCCGTACTGCAGCTCCTCCGAGCTGTCGCTCTCCCCGTCGTCGCTGGCCGCAGCCGTCGGACTGTTCCTCGCCATTTCCGCTTTGGCGCGCGTCAACTCCGCCAGAACGTCCCTTTCCGGCTTGACGGACCTACAGGTGGCCCTTGCGCGGCGCTCCTCGCCGCACGATGCTTGGTCCGCGTTGCCGCTACCTTTGACCGCGTCCTCGTTCTCGGAGCCGTCCCCGTGCTCCGACGACTTCCGCTCGGTGTCCGTCGACGATTTGCTCAGCGCGCCGTTCGCGACATCCTCCGAGTCCGAGCAGAGCGACAGATCCGCCTCGAGACGCATGTTGCACGCGACTGAAGAGCCTAGGCTGCTGGCGGCGGCCGAGGCGGCGGTTGTGGTTGTTCCGCCGGCGACGGTGGCGCCACCGGCTACCGCTGCCGCCGTCGCTGCCGCTCCTCTACATAGAAACGGCGAGGACGACGCGACGACACCGGCCGCCGCCGCTGCGCTTCCACCACCACTGCCATTGTTGCCACCGCCAGCGGCGCCAACGACGCTCGCGGACGGGCTGTTCGGGAGGCCGTTGACAGGGCTCTCGTCTTCCATGGCAGCGCGCGATCGCAACGGCACGTTGCTGCCGGCAACACCACCGGCCACGGCGGCGACGCACTGCTCTTGGCCGAGCAACGGGTCCACGGACTCCGTCGGCGACGACGAGCCGATCATCGCCGAGCAGAGCTTCACGCTCGCCCCGTTGCTCGTGAGCACCTTGCTCTGCTGTCTACGCCGCTGTATCAAGTCCCTTTTCCATTGGGGCACGGCGGCATTGTTGCCGCTCGATTCGCCGGCGCTGCCAGTCGTCGCGTTGCCCGCGGTAGCCATGTTGGACGCGCGATGGGCGCGTTTGCAAACGCGCCGCCGATCCACCGACTCTCACTCCCCTCTCGCAATTCCTTTTCTCTCCTACTCTTTCTATTTCTCGCTCCAGCTCTCTCTTTCTCTCTCTATCTAGCTCTCGCTCGCTCTTCCTCTCTCTCTCTCTCTTTCTCTCTCTGTCTGATTCGCCGCCGATTCCTTCGCTGCTACTGGCAACGTTTATCTTTCCCTTAGAGACGAGCCGTCGGCATCGCGGCCCACGACCACGAGAACACCTCCCGTGACACTGCGAACGGGGAAACAGCAGCCCAAACACGATCGGTGACAAGCCGATGCCCGGCGTGCACACACATACACCGTGTACGCGCGGTCGCACGCGTCGCCAGTCGTTGACAGTACACACGCGCGCGCGCCTCTTCTACTTCATTCTTTCCGGTCGGAGCAAGTATGCACACCGGTCGGTCGGCTGTCGTATCCTCTGTTCGTTGAACCGTTCCGTTGGCGATCCCGTCGCCGAACAGAGATATTTTCGCCGGCCCGGTCGGATCGATAAGAAACCCGGGTAGACGCGGGATAGGACCCAACGACGACGAGAGTCGTCGAACACCTGTTCCACGAGATACCCGCGCACATACACACGGCGAACAGAGTTACAAAAGCACGTATAACAACTGACAGGAGACTAGAGGGGCACGGCGGCTTGTACCCGCACCGTTTCACTCCATGGCCAACCGTCGTGTGCGCCCGGCTCGATCGGCCTCCCGTGTCTGTCGTCCGCGTGATCGCTGGAAATCGAAAGTACCTACCCGTGGGCACGCACTCGCGCACGCACTCGCCACAGGCACCCACACGAATCGGCGACGACGAAACGCGAGCGCACGGGCCGTCCTCGCTCGTTCACTCGCACACCGCTCCTGCCCCTGCTGCTGCCCGATGCCTGCTGCTGCTGCTGCCTGTCTCTCCTCTCGACGGAGATATCGCCTCCCTCCCTCCCTCCCGCCCTTCCTACCGGCTCCGATCCGATCCGATCCTCTCTCGCCGAGGCTCTCCTCTTCTTCTTCTTCTCTATGCACCAGCCCCCTCGCAGTTTCCACACGCACACCGAGAGACCGAGCAACGTTCACCGACTCGCCGCTCTCTCTTCAGCTCCTCTCTCTCTCTCGCACTCCTCTCCCTTCCGTAACCGGCGACCGCCGTCTCACCGCCTTCTCTTTCGTACCAACGCAACCCCGTCCTCCTCCGGCCCCATAGCCGTTCCCAACGCCATTGCTCTCTCGCTCCACCACCCTGACGTCACGCTTTCGACCGGCACTCGCAACTATCGAATCCCGCGAATCCGCCTATCGAAATCCTGCGTTTGGGGTTACCGGGGTACGTGCGCCGCGAATACGACGAGCTTGCCCTACGGCGGGAGATTCGAAACACGCGAGGGTGCGCCCGTACAAGCTATAAATGAGCCGTTTATTTTGAAAGTGGCACAAGTCGCTTTACCGTAATGAAAAGTGGTGGTGTTTTTAATGTTCGTACGAAATTGTTTATACTGAGAAAAATATCGGTAACCTGAGATAACAAATATAAGTAAATCTTCTCGAAAATTGGTATCTATATTTTTAAACGTGTTCACAAACGCAAACCCTTAAATATATCGACGTATAAACAAAGTGACTTATGCCACTTTCAAAATAAACGGCTCGAATATAGCTATAATAAGCTATATAGTAAAGCTATAATAATAAATGATTGCGTTGCAGTAATTAGACGGGTTTTATTGCATACATGAAAAAGGTGAGCGGATCAAGCGAGAGACAATCTAAAAGAGTAGAGTCACATCGGAACGTTACTTTCAATTTATTCAAATTATTAGAGAAAGACAATCCGAGTGTTTCGCGAAATCGACGCACAACATTTCTATTTCGCGTGAAGATTCGCTGGCTCTGGCAATGATATTTCTTTCTGCGAACCTTCAGCGAGACGATGAGAGCACTACTATTTACAGAAAAAAAATGGCGGGAATGCGTGCGTGACGAAATATTGGAGGTTGCGACTATGGCGTTGACGTAGGAAATAGTTTTCGCCGCAGAAAGGTTAGACGGATTTTATTGCATATACGAAAAAGGTGAGCAGATCAAACGAGAGACAATCTAGAAGAATCGAGTCACATCAATACGTTACTTTCAATTTATGTAAATTATTAGAGAAAGAGAATTCGAGCGGCCACTGTTTCACGAAATCGAAGCACAAAATTTCGCGCGAAGATCCGCTGACAGGCGATGATATTTCTTTCTGCGAACCTTCGGTGACGATGAGAACACTATTATTTACAGGAAAAAATGGCGGGAATGCGTGCGTGACGAAATTATTGGAGGTTGCGACTACGGTGCGTTGCCGTAGGAAATAGTTTTCGCCGCAGAAAGCGGTCGGACGGTTCACCGAGTCGAGGACAATTGCCGCGTCCTTGTACCCTTAATTGCCGCGCGCGGTCTCGGTAAACAAAAAAGAAACGCATACAACACGTGTTGACCATGCTTCGAACGGAGGGGGAGGGATCCGCCGCATCCGGCGGACGGTAATAACGAGTACGAGAAAACAGGACGTATCCGAGAATCATAACGTACGATGACCCAAAACGTGGAATCTCGAGCATTCGTTCCCCTCGACGCGGTCGTTTATTCCTCGCGTCAAGTTCAATATGCAGGCGAAACTAATTCCATTCGTGCAATTGCGTGTCCGCCGATGTCTGCCACCGGTTCGGTGTACATACGTATTGGGTTGGAAACTAAGTAATTGCCGATTTGTTCGATGAAATAAAAAATTTCTTTTACTTGGAACGAAGTTTAATCTGTAATGTATTTTCCATTTTGTTCGATGACCTTTTGCCATCTCTCTGACAACTTGAAAATTCCACGCTCGTAGAAAGTCTGATCCTTTTCGGCCAAAAACTGAGTTAAGTGAGATTTTACAGCGTCATCGTCGTTAAAAGTTTTACCACGAAGGGAGTTGTCCAGGGATCGAAATAAGTGGTGATCCGATGGCGCGAGATCAGGGCTATATGGTGGGTGTAACATCAATTGCCAACCAATATCCATGAATTTTTGCCGAGTGGACAAAGACGTGTGCGGCCTAGCATTGTCCTGCTGGAAAATGACACCTTTACGATCGACCAATTCTGGTCGCTTTTCCTTGACCGCTGC